ATATAAGGAGTGGGTAGACCCAGGGCATCGTCCTTGTACTGACGTACTATCTTATCAGAGGCTGGCCCGTATATCTCAGAGAAATTAATCTCATCAAAGACACCGTCGTCCTCTCTTGGTATATGGAAATTGGCTATTGTATAGAAAAAAAGAGAAAAGTAATCGTCTCCAATGCAAAAAATGTATGCATCAATTATTTCATATCAACGCGAAGGTGCAATCAGAGGCTAAATGATGAGAGTCATTGACAGGGTTTCCCATAAAGCATGCTAAGCAAGCTAAATTCAGCTAAACAGCATGCTTCATGAGCTGACAAGCACTAGAATGCACTGTAGCTTATAGTGCTTTTTGAGTACTTTAAAAATTTGTAAAAAAATTAATTTTGGTCAGAATCAACTTAAACTTGCTACATAACATAAGAATGTCTATATGTACCAGAAAAAATTATAAAAATGGAGATTTCTTTCCTAGCGAAATTTGGCTAAAGACACTGTACTATAGTACAGGGACATTAAGCCAATTTTGGAGCAATTTTAAAAATTCATAAAAACCCAATTTTAATCTGAATCCACTAAAACTTTCTACACAACATAAGAATATGTATATGTATCAGGAAAAATTATAGATATGGAAAATTCTCCCTTAGCCATTTTTGACAAAATTTGGCTGAAGGACCCTGCACTATAGTACAGGGCATTGGCCCTAATTGTAAGCAGCTTAAAAATTAGAGAACTATGCCTAAGTTTTCTGGGAAACCCTGGTCATTGATGATCATACTACACTTGCTTTACGCTGTATAGCACTTACATGTATTTTACATTTCATGGGATACAAACTTATCACAATACTGAAAGGAATTACAAACACTAAAGAAGACTGCAAAGTTGGATTAACATTTCATTAACACTGAATGACAACAGCAATTCAAGCACTACTAACTAATGATGCCTTATACCAGCTAGTCTATAGTCTACTCAATAAGTGCTATACAGTGTGCAAAAATGCCCCAACAAAAACTGTAACCAGCACATTCAAATAATATGAGGCATATATGCAGTTATCGCTCTTACAAGAAGTAACACACACACAAATTATTATATAAATGCAAATATAATTAATACCATACCGCACGATATACGGACGACTGAATGACATGATCACCATTTCCATGTTTCCAGTTGTGTTGTTTAATTCCAAGTCAGAGAAGAATTAAGGACCTCTCAATCACTCATTAAAGCCGTTTCATAAAACATCTTTATACAGGAAGCAATGGAGTCTGTAGCATGTTTTAGGCTCCATTGACTCCTGTACAGTGTTGCTTCATGAAATAAAGTTTCATAGTGTATGAAAGCTAGCCTTTATACTATCAACTCTATGACATACAATACACTCTAGCTGCACAAAATGAAAACAAGAATCAAGCAAAGGTCTATCTATCTAAGCATGTGGATGTAACATTTACAATAGGGCTGAAATGAATAGTGAGATATTCGAATATTCATTCGTTATAGCAATATTCGAATAGTTTTTTTGCTATTCAAAATATTTGAATAATAAAATTATTAATGGTTATTGCAATAATTAACAGCCATGCCCACCACGTGTCACCTACACAGGCTGCTTTCTTAGTCTGTTTACTTACCAACTTGCTAAATACTGATGCTGTGGCCAGGTAAAGTGGTTCTCAATCTCTAAGAAGCCTTGTTTGGGGTCATTTTGAAAAGTTTAACACCAAAAAGGTAGTTCATAATCATTCAGCAATAATAGTTCAATTATTCGAATATTTGTTCGTTTAGCATGCCAATTATTCGAATAGTGAAAAATACTATTCATTTCAGCCCTAATTTACAGGTCATTGAGTTTGCAAACTGAAGGCAACATTTCTAGTTGTAAATCTCAAACATCTCTCAATTCTCTCAATAAAGTAAGTTACTCCATTCATAAAATATAAAGATCATTTATAAAAATTTGTAGAAGCCACAATGTACTGTAGTGGCTTTATTTTGAGGATAATAATTTTCACAAATGACTTCTATCTGGAGGTTCAGAGAATTAAATCTCGCAAATTTCCACTTTCCTGCAATCTTTTGCCTTATTAATTTAATTTTCAAGAAATTTATTTCATGATACTTGAAAAATCCGTAAAATTCATTATCCTTGAAAAAAACCACTATACGGTAAATACATGTAGCATATGCCTTAGATGTTTATTGCTTAAGATTGGTTTCTGTATTGCTGTGGCTGTTAGATGGATCATAGCATATAATCTTAAGATCTTTAGTCTACATGCAACTCCATCACCATTATTACCAGGTTTTAAAGCTGTTGGGGAACTCAATGGAAACTAATCCTTTTGTATACTATATAGCTGTACATATATCTTCCCTATTTTCAAAAATTTCAACGCATAATGCTTCTTTCCTTTGTATCCAGTAGCCATTAGATGAACTGAAGTGATAACAAAACATACATTAATGACTTACCTAGTAACAAAATGATGATCAGCAGAGAACCAATGGGTTGCAAATACGGTTATTTCATTTATTAATAAGCCAAGTACAGTATAATGCTGTATAGTATAGACTGTATATAAAATAAAGCTGTTTTTATAAAAGCCATTTAATCATATCCTCTCTAATATGCTTTTCAACACTTGTACATGTACATATTCGACTATCGAAGGAAGTGGCAGTTAGTTGAGTCCAGACAGTAGTCACTATGCTGCCTTACCTTAAAATGTAGCTCAATCAAACTAGTAGAGAAGAGGGTAAGATCCAACCTTGAAGAGAACACACAATTTCATTAATTGCACATTAGAATAAATAATAAATAACATTTCTCATGAATAATGATCTCTTGCAGATGACAGATACAATATGCTAAATTTGAGTAACTCCAGTACATCTTAACAGAAACAAATAACGCCAACACTGATAAATCTCACTGATGAGTAAGGGCAAAGTTCTGTGGCTATACCTTTCAAGCAAAAATAAATGACGCGTACTTGAAACTACTAAGATTTGGTTTCATAAAGAATAACCTGCCATTCTAATTCAATGCACATTGAAGACAACATGCAGGCACCATATGTTGCACAGAATCAAATCTTACAAGGCACACATATACCCAATGCCAAATTCAAGACATTATGCTTTTAAAAATAATACTTATACGTACCTTTGAATGCATCAATGACATTTTGAGGTACTTCCATGCAGCATCCCTCCCTTATCCTGTCAACCCTCCTCTTCCTCAGCTCGTGATGAGGTGGTATCACTACCAATGCTTTGCGCGAAAACCCTTCAAAGTAACTCATTTTGGCCTTTTGTGAGTCAGCATACACATTAATCTGGAGAGAAATGAAGACAGTTGAATAACACATAAAAAAGATACAGCTACATGTAATGTACATTCAAGGTTGTGTACAAATATGCTTGCCTGATCAATAATATAATTTCCAGGTATGTTCGATGCCAATAAGCACAATGTGTTCACCATTGGAGCAGTCAAAGAAACAAACTCATTCCAATTAGTCATCGA